CACTCAACCAATTTCAACCAAATTTGGCACAAAGCATCTATGGGTGAAGGGGAACAAAAATTGTGAATTTCATGATCCCTGCCCATCCTGGGGCCTTGGGGGTGGGGCCAAAACCACTTAAATTAATGCAATCTTTAAAAATCTTCTTCTTTACTCCTGGACATCAAGCAGTCAAACTGTTTGCATGATTGTAATCAGCATTGAGTCTTTTATCAAAATTGTGAAATTCATGGCCCTGGGGTTAGGGGTTCTTGTGCTAGGGCGGGGCTATATAAGTATATAGTGAAAATGCATTATTTCTTTGAAAATCTTCTTCTCTGCTCCTGGGTATTATATAAACTAACTACGTACATAGTTTTGATGAGCAAGAGTGCCTCTTCCAAAATTGTGAATTTTATGGCCCCAGGGTCAGGGGCTCTGGTGTTAGGGCAGGGCTCTATTGATTATATAGTGAAAATACACGAATTCTTTGAAAATCTTCTTCTCTGATCCTAGGTATTAAATAAATTTACTAAGTATATAGATATGATGAGCAAGAGTGCCTCTACTAAAATTGTGAATTTTATGGCCCCAGGGTTGGGGGTTTTGGTGTTAGGGCGGAGCTCTATTGATTATATAGTGAAGATACATGAATTCTTTGAAAATCTTCTTCTCTGCTCCAAAGTATTAAATAAACTAACTAAATACATAGTTGTGATGAACATGAATGCCTCTACCAAAATTATGAATTTTATGGCCCCAGGGTCAGGGGTTCTGGTGTTAGGGCGGGGCTCTGTTGATTATATAGTGAAAAACATTAAATCTTTGAATATTTTCTTCTCTGCTCCTGGGTATTAAGCATATGAACTACCTATATAGTTATGAGCAAGGGCCCTTATCTTCCAGAATTGTGAATTTCAAGGCCCCAGGGTCAGTAGTACCATAGAGGGGGGTCTGTACTTGTATTCTGAAAAATAATGATTTGTTTGAAATCTGCTCCTTTGTATTAATCAAATACTTTTGAAAAGCAAGGATGCCTTTTTAAAAATTGTGCAATGTGTGGATCTAGGCCTAAGTGTCAAGGGTTCATGTGTGGTAGCAGCACTACTGATTATTGCTGAATATTACTGATTTGTTGAAATGCATTTTTTGTTCCCCTACCCTGCCTATGGGTATTAAGTAACCAAACTAAGCAACTGCTAAGTGTATAGTTATGATGATCAAAATTGTAAATGCTATAGCATCTGGCTTAAAACATGGATCAAATTCAATCACTGGAAAGTTGTTGCATAATGCTCAGGTGACCTTATAAGGCCCATGGGCCTCTTGTTACCTCTTCTGAGCCAAAGGCTTAAAGAGCTAATGCTATGACCATTTGTGCAGTGTGAGGTGCCCTTGGCCCAAGAGCTATACTAGTGCTAGGGGTGGGACCCAAAAACAAAGGGAGATAATTAGGAAAATAAAACCAAAAGTACTGGTTGTAAAAAATGCTCTTCTCCAGAACCACTTGGCAGATTTTCACCAAACTTACGAACAAGGGTCAGGAGATGTTGAAAATTAAAAATTGTTCAAGGCATGACCCTAGGGTAAAAGGCATGGTCTCAAGGAATAATAATGAGTTTGAGTGATAATTCTAATCTTTTCAAGTCACTTTTGGACTCATTTACCGGATTTTCAAGATCATTTATTTTAACTAATGATCTTCCAACGGAATCTGTGGGACTTAGTGTAAATAATGTGCCAAATTTCTTGCAAGTACAGGAAAATCAGGAAAGTGTTACAATTACTTTCGATGGCGACAAGTACCCCATCATTTTAGATCTGTTGGAGAAGAAACTCCTATTATTCAAAGACAGCAATGAAAGGCGACATGGATCTATTTATAAATCACAGGATAAAACTGTCACTGTTACCATCTACGAGACAACAAGCTCTCTACATATCCAAGGGGAGTCGTATTTTTCTTGGTATCAGGAGTTCCTCACGGACTTGAATAAATTGGATGTAAATTTGGAAACAAATTGTAAGACTTTAGATGAAACATCTCCTCAATGCACCTCCACCCCTAAGGGTAAGACATCACAGAATTGTCATCAGTGTATTAGCAGTGCCAAACTTATTCAGGAATTGTCTGATACCGTCAAGCTTTTGTCACAAGAAGTCAGTGACCTAAAACAGCAACTAAATGGGTCAAAAAATGTTACATCGCTTGTTTCAAGAGCTATCCAAACAACTCCTAATAGGACAAAACAAAAGGAGACATCAACAGACGGACTCCTTCACATTCCAGCTGGTGTATCAAGGCATACCCAATGCACCCTTAAAGCTCCTACAATATCCAACAGTACCATGACAGATGCCAGTGAAGCTCATACTACATGTACTAGGAGTTTTCCTACCTCGCCAGATTCAAACACCAAACATGGCACAAATCAACCTAGAAAGATCCCAGCGGATAAATCTGTCCTCATCATAGGAAGTTCCATACTACAAAGGATCCGCACCAGAGGATTGCGTTCAACTGTGCAGGTCAGCACAAATCGCGGGGCAAACATCTCCCATATACGGTCCAAGCTCT